TTCCCTTGCCACCCCATCTTTCACGTTGCGTCCAAGAGCGCCAGCACACACGGCCTCAGACGCGGCCGAGAGCTTGGTCTGGCAAGGGACCACAAAAAAGCTGAAACCAAAAAGTGTCTAGGTTACAAAATTCTGTATTTTGTTGGCTTTAAATTAAACTGAAAACTAGTTACCAGCTTCGGACACGTTAAAAAAAAAAAAAAAAAAAAAAAAGAGGTCAGCTATCCTCGATGAGTGACCACTGTGCCAGCGACCAACACAGCACACCAGTGATATCCACCGACACCACGAGAAGCCAGGAGGATAAAACGGGTTACTTACAGAGAAGGTGTTTGGGAAACACTGAAATGATGGTAAAAACCAAGAGGAAAACATTGTTAAGGTTTAGAGTTGTTTTAAAAATATAACCTAGCTCCGATACTTTCATTTGGTTTTAAGAAAGCGGTTGCATCCCAGCTGGTGCAAGCGCTTCCCTGTGTCGCAGGATCTCGCGCGCCCGCTGCCGGCGGCGGGCTCCGCGCCGGCACAGCAAGGGGCTTCGCTCAGACCCCCCCGAACGGCAACTGCTCTGTGTTATCATGCAACACCCAACCAAGACTACGGGCGGGTGCAAATGTCAGCAGACGGCTTCTACCGAAGTGCGACAAGCGCGATGAACAGAAATTAAGAGAGCGCAAGGGTTACAAGCTTAAGGATGCGTTTTAGTAACAGGCTGCGGTTTTAGGAGTCCCCTCCGGTGCTGGGTCTCAAGCACCCGCAGCGCAAACACCAGCAAAACGCACACAGAGAAGATCCATGGAAGCGGAAAGGGAAGAGGATCCTGGCAATCGAGATACGCCGACGCACCGGGAAGCGGCAGCTCTCCGACGGAAAATGAGTGGGCAAAGAAACGGGAGGTGAAGAGCTGCTGCTGAAGGTTTGTGCCGTCCCTTTGCTGACGGCTGTACTGCTGTTGTACTCGAGGAAGGCTGGCAGGGAGGCTCTCCGTTGATGGGTGTCAAAGTAGCTTGAAAAAAGCAGCTTGAAGGCGACAGACGCAAAAAAAAAAAACCAAAAACAAAAAACAACCAACCAAAAAAAAGGGGTTAAGGGAAGTTACTGAACAAAAGGGGAAAGAAGGAAAAGCGGCAATTAAATACAGGTCTCTAAATGCACACAAACCGATGTTGTTAATGGAGTAAACACAATCTAGTAATATTTGCTGTAAGCCATGCAGCAGAACTTTGGAAGAATCCAGAATTACTAAATTTTAATATATTAAAAACAAAAGAAATACAGGGATTTTCACTGAGGAATTCATAAATAAAACCAGAAAAAAACCGACCAGATGTAAAGGAGGTAGCAATGAAAAGCCAAGTTCTGTGCTAGGAAAGCGTGTGCTACTGTGAGCAATAATATGAGGAAAGTAACACTGAGAAACCCGAGATTATATATATATATATATATATATATATAAATAAATATATATACACATATATATATACACACATAGTTGGCTAAGGGAGCAGAACTTGCCAACAAGCTGCAAGGTAGCATTTGCAGATTAATCTCAGTATTTGTAAACTTCCAAGTCTGTAATTCAAGGAGAGAACCCATGAACATACACTGACTACTGTGCTAGCACGAAGCAGGGGTTTGCATCTCTTTAATCTACAGGTACACGAGGTTTGGATTACTTTGATTTCGAAAAAGATACTTCACCAGTTCCAAAATGACCTGTGAAGCGTGTTAACCTGAACATACCATCGTACAGCACATCAGAACAAAACAACGATGACAGGAAAGCCAAGAGCTCCGAAGTACCAGGACTGTCCTCTCATACCAGAACTAGATAAATATCGGAGAGCACGGTGCATGCTTTTGAAAAACGGCTGAACTGACTGCACGGTGAACTTCCACTGGCTATGGTCGAGTGCTGGTCGGGGCCGGGGCTCCTCGGGCCACAAGGCCGGCTGCCCCCGCGCAGCAACGGGAGCTCGGGAAAGGCGTGCTCGTCCCGTTTGGCTCAAGGCAGACTTTCACATTGGCTATTCTCCCCATGTTACAAGGAAGCTTTACTTCCTTCAACGGAACAGTACTGCAGAAAGCAAAGTGGGGCACGTTACAATTCCGCACAGCGTTTTGCACACCCCTTGGAGTAGCCTACCAAAGGTAGGAGCTTATCCTTTCGTCCATTCAAATCACGGTCTGCACAGGGAAGCTACTCCTGGGTAAGCCAGGATCTGAATTTACAGCGATCTGGTTCCTGAACGAGAACTTCTAAAGCTGGCATACTTAGTCCTGAACTAGAAGGGTACTGGGTTGCACCACAACAGATGAACGATGCCACCGAGCCCACGGTGCAGGCCAGCTCAGACCACGGAAATTCTCATCCCAGCTTACTCCGCATTCAGTTCCCCTGACAGAAAAGCTTTAAGTCCTCAGCTAGACAAGGTACAAAAGGATTTCACGGCAATGTAAGAAAAAGGACCAAAAAAAACCAAACCAATTTAGAAAGCAAACTTGAAACAGGACCGTATGCTTGTGACGAACCTCTTCAGTATCTGCGGTTTGCCTGTTTAGTTCAGGGACTCGTACGTACAGTGCAGAGAAGCATGCATTCTTTTACCTGAAAGTTTGCGCATGCACCGATCAGAGGAGATCTAATGGCCAAAAAAAGGTGAAGCCATTTCATAATAAACCTCAATAGAGTCCGTGATGGGGAAAAAAATCGCTACGTTAATACAGTACTTCATTATTTCTATACTTCTGGTGTCGACACCAAGTTTATGGAGGAGTTGTGCACATTTCAACACCATCTAAGCAGCATTTGGAACAAAAAGCAGCAAGTTCCTCAGGGTTTCCATAGCTCTGAACTACGTAAAAATATGTGCTATGGGGCTTCTTTCCAAACTCTAATGAAAACAATTTCATCTACTGCAAAATTCCTTACTCAACCACCACACCATCCAAAGTGCTTTTCAAGACAACCTGAATTGCACTGTATATGTAAAAACTGGCATTAACCTTTAGTGTTTAAATGAGATTTTTAGATAAACTTTATCCATTACAGGTTACATGGCTAAAGTTATCAAATATAATAAAATTTCTACTGGAGAATATACTCTGAACTTACAATCTTAGGAACTTACATAAGTTTAAGTATGGCCACATCAATCAACATGCAAGAAATTCCCAGGTTTACATACTGAGAAATATATAACACAGTGCTTTTAAAAACAACTTTAGCATAGATTCTTCTTTTTAATTAGAACTGCCGAGTGTATTCTCACTAGATTGAATGACCGAGGAGTAACCCTTTAAAAAGGTGTTTTTTCATTTGCAGCAATGTTTAAGTTGATGAAAGAAGAAATGATAAAATGGTACATAGTTCGTATCACAGCAAGACGGAGTTTTGACAATACGAAATTCTCGATCATGTCTGACTTCGCAAATTTCACACAACTTTGTTTAGTGTATGCTCACTGGAATAAAATCCCTCTATTTTAGGTCACTTGTCTGAATAAATATTCTTACGTATACTGAAAGGAATCTATTAACTATTAAAGGAAAAAAAAAAAAAAGAAAAAACCAAAAGACTTTTTCAGGAAACAAATCATTTCACTCAATGAAAAATTTAGCTTCTCTTCCAGTTTGTTCCGTAGAGTTTAGATTTTATTATATGGGCACAGCAGTAACTAAAGTATTAGTAAAATAATGAATGTATTTTTGCTTATGACTTGCTGTGGATGTTCTGTGCAAACAAAAAAAACCTCACAGTCTGACCTGGGCACTAGTGAGATTTCACAGAAAAGGGCCTTTCATGGAAATGTGCCAGAGTATCTAAAAGGTGACGTAGAATACCAAGTTCTACTGTAAAAGAGCCTCGGAGGAAGAGAGATCCATCTAACATGTGCTTTCATAAGTGCCCTTATTTGAAAAATTTCTTCGCAATAATTAAGATGCTGGTATACTTTCCCTATTACACAACCTCTTACACAACCACATGCGGTACATTTACAGACAGATTTACAATCAGAAAGAAAAATGTTTTTGTTTTGTTTTTTTTTCTGTCTTGATAATAAAATTAGCTGTTTTTTGTTTCTTTGTTTTTATACAAACTGCAGTCCAGCCCATTTCGCTCTCTCCACACAGCAGATGAGCTTCTAGGCTCTCTCCATGCTGGTTAGAAAAATCCTTTAACAGCACTTTTCCCCTAGAACTGGGTCGTTCCGCAACGAACTGCTAGAGCACAACGCTAACTCCGGGTCAGACACTCTGCGCTGGTAATCTTCTTTGCAATTTCTTCATCATCATTCATCGTCATCATCCTCATCTTCCTCGCCGTCGGAAAGGGATGTACAAGGGCGGATCTGTCGGTAGCGGTCGAGCCACTTCTCTACCATCTGGGTGACCAGAGGATGATTGCGCCTACGAGAGCTTTTCTGCATCGCAACGAGAACCCCTCCTTCCGTCACGCAGCAGTCCAGCCATTCCCGGAGCAGCTTCTCTTGCTGCTCCTCATTACCTATCTTTGGGGGAGAGAAAACGGATTGAGAATGAGGCTTGAAAGATTACCAGCAACGTTAAGCAAGCCGCCTGTGATGCTCCGAAACGCCCAGGCTCGGGGAGCAACGCAGTTGTTTTTCAGAGCTGGCAGAGTTAGCGTACTACCGCTCCGCAGCTGGGAGTCTCAGACAGCCAAACTGATGCACGCTGTGTTTTCAACCAGAATTTGAAGGCTCTGGAAATACTCTCCAGCTATACTTCCCTTCTAAATCTTTCAGATGTGTGTTTCCAATATAGCCTTCCTATACTTCAGTTATTTGTGAGCAACTCGTTATTTATGGTAGGCACGATATATAAGGAGGATATGGCCTACAGAGCCTTCTGGCTTTACAGAGCAGTTTTTAGGAGTCTAGCAGTTCTTGACATGCAACATTTCCTCTTGTAAGACATAACAAATGTTGTGGCCTGCTGAAAAAAATATCCCTCTCTAGACTTAAAGCCCATACTTTTTCTCCTTTATCTACAGGATATCCACTTTTTGCAATTACTTCAGGTTCCTCCATGTACACACTTTACTGACGTGGTTCCCCATCTTTATCACAGTTATTAAAGAAGAAACGAGTTGAGTTTCATGGAGAAAAAAAAAAAAAAAAAGAGGTAGAGCATGCTGTAACTACTGGCCAGTATTTGTGTTGCATCCTTTTAAAAAAGGCCTATTTCAGTCCCGTGTTAGTGTCAGAATCCTTATTTCTGGGTCCTTCTCAAGGTGCGCTTGTATTCACACACACAGGGAAGTTACGTTCCATTTACAGAGCTATAAACGAGCATCAAATTTGTGGGAAAATATCTTTCAGCATCACCTCAAATGATGGGGAAGGGAGCAGTGTTAATTAAACAGAAGAGCATACTCCCTATCATTCCTCGAACTACAAAAACGTGCGGGGCTACAGAGGGTGCCGAGGCCGCGGCGCAGCAGCGGCTGTGCCAAGGGCCACCCGCTACCCGACCGCTCCTTACCTCTTGGGCGGAAAGGAAGTGGATGTGCAATAATTTCCTCTCGCTGTCCACCAACGGCAGGAAAGTAACAGTAACATCATCGTCGGTGTTCAAGTTAGCACCAGCACCTCGATTGCCATAACCATCGTTCTCCATGGCAACCAGAGCGGAGAAATGGCCCCTCGTGTAGCCCAGAGCAATAGGACTTTTCCAACAAAAACTCTGTTCCCATAACAAAGGCAAATATACACCTACGGCAAATTAAAACAAAGGGTAAGACTCAGAACTAGTGTTCGACAACGAAGAATTTTGATAGGAACCTTTTGCTTTTGGCTAAACACAGTAACAGCAGCGCTTACGAGCATTTAAAACATACTTGGTTTGGTCTACGCTAATGTAAGTCACACTCCTCGGTACAGCTAATTATTATTAGGTTAGCATGAGATTAGTCAAGCATCTCTGCAACTGTACAAGTTTAGACATAAAAGCCATTACAATTACAACCGGACCACATTACCATTCCCCTGAAATCTACGATCTACAGTACAGCGATGAACAAAAAACAAGGTTAGAAAAGCAGTCTTTCATGTTTGGTAACTCTTCTTAAAAATAAAACAAATTACAAAGAAAAAAAATCAGATGCTGCATCCCAGAAATAAAAGCTACAGTCAGATGTCTATTTTTACCAGAACAAAAATTCCACCATCTGCTTACGAAGCTTTTATTAATAAAAGAACTTACTGCACTAAATATTATTCAGTACCTAACTATGTAGCTTATCCCAGAGACAATGGGAATTCTCATAAACATGGTATTAATAGATTAACCCACATCAATTATACATATCTAGTCTCAAAAAAAAAAAAAACAACCAAATACAACAAATACGATGTCACAGATTGTGAAAGAAACTGCAGTTTTTCTCCCCGCCGTTTTTAGCCATAAAGACCGTAATTCGCTTGAGGTGCATGAAGTCTCAAAATAAAACGAGAACTCTTTTCTTTTAGGAACATAAATAATTCTTGGTATGTACTGCTGCAAGACAACTTAAGCAAAAGCATGCCTTACCTTGTGACTGTTTAAAAATAGCCATGCATAAACTTAAGTGCACATGTAGCATAGCAACCTTTCATAGTACAGCTGCTGCCAGTAAGTTAGGAATAGACGCTGCAGCAAAACAAGGCACTTCACTTCTCCAACATCCACGGAGATGGAAAGGCAACGCGAACATGGAAACCTGAGGCAGGGGGTAGGTTTGGAGGTTTTACTGAAGTTTAGAACTCCTCTCTCTTTGCTGCAACAAAAATGAGCGGGGGCTACCGGTAAATATTGGTCCCTTTTCCCGCCCATTCTTGAATTAGCAATCAAGACATACCTAAAAGTCCTTCCACTTCTTTTAGATTAAGATTCACACAAGTTTTTACAACATCTAGATCTAAGGACAAATCATCTAAGGACAATGAAGTCTCACTGTAATTCAATGCTAAACACAAAAGAGGCAGAACAAGGGTTAAGCGTTAGCCAAAAAATTTCAAGCCTTTACATTTAGGG